ACGGCTCGGAAGCGACAGAAAAAATCATATTGACAAAGAAGCAAACCGCTCGAAACGGGCTAGGCAATTTGAGAACCAGAAGAGAAGCAAACCGCTCGCAAGAGACTAGATACTTCCAGAGCAAGGAGGAAACCGCTCGAAAGGAACTAGAGAATTCCAGCAGAAGAAGCAAACCGCTCGAAAGAGACTAGAGAGTTTAAGAACAAGTAGCAAGACGCTCGAAAAGAAAGCACGAGCAAACCGAAAAAAAAAACTTAGGAATCTGGACAGAGACTAGAGAACATTGACAACAAAGAACAAACCGAAAGAGACTAGAGCAGTTGAAAACAAAAGACAAACCGCTCGAAAGAGACTAGCGACTTCCGACAGGGCATAAAGACTTTCAAAACCAAGATCAAACCGCTCGAAAGGAACTATAGATAATGTCGGAAGGAGAAGCAAGCCGCTCGAAGGAGACTATAGATTTTCGAGAGACGCTGGGGACTTTGATAACAAGGAGCAAACCGCTCGAAAGAGACTAGGGAATTCCAGGAGAAGGAGCACGCCGCTCAAAAGAGACTAGAGACTTCCGAAAGAGACTAGAGAAAGAGCAAACCGCTCGAAAGGAACTCAAGAATTTCAGAAGAAGGAACAAACCGCTCGAAAGAGACTGAGAATTTCGACCGATACTAGAAAGTTTGAAAACAACGAACAAAGCACTTGAAAGGAACTAGAAAATTGCAAAGGAAGGAGCAAACCGCTCGCAGGAGACTGGAGAATTTCGACGGACACCAGGGAAATTGAAAACAACGAGCAAGCCGCTCGAAAAGAATTAGAGAATTTCGAAAGAGACTAGAGCAAATGAAGACAAGGAGCAAACCGCTCGGAAGGGACTAGAGAACTTCAGAAGAAGGAGCAAACCGCTCGAAAAGAACTAGAGAATTTCGACAGACACTAGAGAGTTTGAAAACAAGGAGCAAACCGCTCGAAAGAAACTAGAGAACTTCAGAAGAAGGAGCCAACCGCTCGAAAGGAACTAGAGAATTTCGACAGACACTAGAGAGTTTGAAAACAAGGAGCAAACCGCTCGAAAGGAACTAGAGAATTGCGGAAGGAGCAAACCGCTCGAAACAGACTACAGGATTTCGACAGAGACTAGAGGATTTGCAAACAAGGAGCAAGCCGCTCGCAAAGAACTAGAGCATTTCAGAAGGAGGGGCAAACCGCTCGAAAGAGGCTAGAGAATTTCGACCGACACGAGAGAGTTTGCAAAAAAAACAGCAAACCACTCGAAAGGAACTCGAGAATTGCCAACCAAACAGCAAACCGCCCGAAGGAGACTAGAGACTTTGGAAACAAACGAAAGAAAATGAAAACAAGGAGCAACCCGCCCGAAAGGAACTGTAGAGAAATTGGAAATGCAGGGGCAAACTGGTCGAAAGAGACGAGAGAATTTCAACAAATGCTACAGAAATTGAAAACAACGAGCAAGCCACTCGAAAGGAACTAGGAAATTTCAGATGAAGGTGCAAGCCGCTCGAAAGGGAATAGAGAATTTCGAAAGAGACTAGAGAGATTGAAAACAAGGAGCAAACCTTTCGAAAGGAACTAGGGGACTTCAGAAGAAGGAGAAATCCACCCGAAGGGGTGTAGAGAATTTCGACAGAGACTAGAGAAGTTGAATACTAGGATCAATCCGCTCGAAAGGAACTAGAGAATCCCAGCAGAAGGGGCAAGCCGCTCGATAGACACTTGAGAATTTAGGAACAAGTAGCAAACCGCTCGGAAAGAACTAGAGACTTTCAGAAGGAGCAAACCGCTTGAAAAAAACTGAGGAATTTGGACAGAGATTAGAGAACTCGAAAACCAAGAGCAAATCGAAAGAGACAAGAGAAATTCCGACAGGGACTAACTTTGAAAACAAAGATCAAACCGCTCGAAAGGAACGAAAGAATTTCAGAAGAACAAGCAAACCGCTCGAAGGAGACTACAGAATTTCGAGAGACACTAGAGACTTTGATAACAAGGAGCAAACCGCTCGAAAGGGACTACGGAATTCCAGAAGAAGGAGCACGCCGCTCGAAAGAGACTAGAGACTTCCGAAAGAGACTAGAGAAAGAGCAAACCGCTCGAAAAGAACTAGAGAACTTCAGAAGAAGGAGCAAGCCGCTCGAAAGAGACTGGAGAATATCGAAAGAGATTAGAGATATTGAAAACAAGGGGCAAACAACCGCACGAAACGAATTAGAGAATTTCGAAAGAGACTAGAGCAAATGAAAACAAGGAGCAAACCGCTCGAAAGGGACTAGAGAATTTCAGAACAAGGAGCAAACCGCTCCAAAGAGACTAGAGAATATCGAAAGAAACTAGAGAAACTGAAGACAAGGAGCAAACCGCTGGAAAGGAACTAGAGAACTTCAGAAGAAGGAGCAAACCGCTCGAAAGGAACTAGAGAATTTCGACAGACACTAGAGACTTTGCAAACAAGGAGCAAACCGCTCGAAAGAAACTAAGGAAGTCCGCAAGAGACTAGAGAAATTGAAAACAAGGAGCAAACCGCTCGCAAGGAGCTAGAAAGCTTCAAAAGAAATGGCAAGCCGCTCGAAAGAGACTAGAGAATTTCGAAAGAGACCAGGGATATTGAAAACAAGCGGCAAACCGCTCGATAGGAACCAGATAATTTCAAAAGAAAGAGCAAACCGCTCGAAAGAGACTAGAGAATTTCAAAAAAGACTGGAGAAATTGATTGCAAGTAGAAAACCTTTCGAAAGTCAGGACAGGGAGCAAACCGCTCGGAAGAGACTAGAGAATTTCGAAAGAGACTAGACAAGCTGAGAACAAGGAGCAAGCCGCCCGAAAAAGACTAAAGAATTTCAGAAGAAGGGGCAAACCGCTCGAAAGAGACTAGAGAAGTTGCACCGAGACTAGAGAATTTGCAAACAAGGAGCAAGCCGTTCGCAAAGAAAGAGGGACTTTCAGGAGAAGGGCAAACTCGAAAGAGGCCAAGGAATAAAGACTAGGGAATTACAAGAAAGGAGGCAAGCCGCTCGAAAGGCACTAGAGAATTGCAGAAGAAGGAGCAAAACGCTCGAAAGGAACTAGAGAATTTCGAAAGAGACCAGAGACAGTGAAACACGGAGCAAACCGCTAGAAAAGAACTAGAGAACTCCAGCAGAAGGGGCTAACCGCTCGAAAGGAACTAGAGAATCTCAGAAGAAGGAGCAAGCCGCCCAAAAAGAACGAAAAAATCCTAAAGCGACTAGGGAATTTCGAAATTGACTTGAGAAATTGACAACAAGGAGCGAACCACTCGAAAGGAACTGGTGAATTTCAGAAGAAGGAGCAAACCGCTCGAAACAGACTAGACGACTAGAGGATTTCGACAATTTGCAAACAAGGAGCACGCCGCTCGAAAGGAACTAGAGAATTTCAGAAAAAGTGGCAAACCGCTCGAAAGAGACTAGAGAATTTCGACCGATACTAGAGAGCTTGAAAACAACGAGCAAACCACTTGAAAGGAACCCGGTTTTTCAGAAGACGTAGCAAACCGCTCACAAGAGACTGGAGAATATCGAAACAGACTAGAGAAGTTGAAAACAAAGGGCAAACAACCGCTCGACAGAGACTAGAGAATTTCGACAGAGACTGGAGACATGGAAAACAAGGAGCAAACCGCTCGAAAGGAACCATAGAGAATTTCAGAAGAAGGAGCAGACTGCTCCAAAGAGGCTAGCGGATTTCGAAAGAGATTACGACATTGAAAACAAGGAGCAAACCGCTCGCAAGGAGTTTCAGAACAAGGCGCAAGCCGTCCAAAGAGATTAGAAAACTTGAAAACAAGAAGCAAACGCTCGAAAGGTTCCAGAAATTTCACATAAGAAAGAGCAAGCCGCTCGAAAAAGACTAGAGCACTCCGAAAGAGACTGCAGAGTTTGAAAACAAGGAGCAAACCGCTCGAAAGGAACTGGAGAATTTCTGAAGAGGGAGCCAACCGCTCGAAAGAGACTGGAGAATTTCAAACAAGACTAGAGAATTTCAAAACAAGGAGCAAACCGCTCGAAAGAGACTGGAGAATTTCGAAAGAGACTAAACAATTTGAAAACAAGAAGCAAACCGCTGGAACTGAACTAGAGAACTTCAAAACAAGGAGCAAACTGCTCGAAAAAAGCTAAAGGTTTTCGAAAGAGACTAAACAATTTGAAAACAAGGAGCTTACGGCTCGAAAGGAACTAGAGAATATCAAACGAAGGAGCAAACCGCTCGAAAAGGACTGAAGAATTTCGAGAGAGACTAGACAATTTGAAAACAAGGGGCGAACCTTTCGAAAGAAACTAGAGAGTTGCAGAAGCAGGAGCAGACCTTCGAAAGAGACTAAAGAAAGTCAGAACAAAGAGCAAACCGGTCGAAATGAACTAGAGACCTCCAAAAAGACTGGAGATTGTGAAACAAGGAGCGTACCGATCGAAAGGAACTAGAGAGTATCAGACAAGGAGCAAACCGCTCGAAAGGGACTACAGAATTTGAAAACAAGGAGCAAACCGCTCGAGAGGAACTTGAGAATTTCTGAGGAAGGGGCAAACCGTTCGAAAGAGACTAGAGAATTTCGAGAGAGATTGGAGATTTGAAAACGAGGCGCAAACCGCTCGAAAGGAACTAGAGAAATTCAGAACAACAAGCAAACGGCTCGAAAGAGACTATAGAGAGCCCGCGAAGGGCGGAAGCCCGAGGCCGGGAAAGGCGTGACAGTGATCGAACCCGGCGAATTCGGGCGATAGCGGCACATCTGGATGAATTCCTGTCAAGAAGTAGGAAAAGCCTTGTGTGGCCTGTCAAGGTGTTTTCTGCCTTCCTCGAGGCTTCATTTGTTCTTTCCGCCTCCAGGGCCATTTGACCCCACAGGAATCTCGATCCGGGCTGCAAAGGGGCCACTGAAAGCCCTGTCTGCTGAGGGGAAGGTTTTTTTTGGTCATGGATACGTGGCAGGGTAGAAGGAAACCCGTGCGCGGGAGAGAAGGCTTTTCTTAGACCCTGTCCAAGTTGGTGGAGATACAAATAAGCCTCTGGACAGCGCGGAGGGCTTTGTTCGGACTCTGTCCATGCATTCTCGAGAAGCTGTTGAGCGCCGGGCCTACCCAGGGCAGAGAAAGAGCCTTTCCGACCGTACCCAAAAAAACCTACGGGTACCAAAAAGCAGCCCCCCGAAATATCCATCAGTGCCCAACCCAAACCCGGAAACCCCGGAATCCTCGAGGCCCTCCCGAACCTTGACAGAAGACTAAACCAAAAACGCTCTAATGGCTGGAGGGTTTGGGGCTGTTCGACCGGCGTCTTGAAGGCTGGGTTCAAGTCTTACGGATGAGATGACCCTAAGGAAACTGCAGCCGAAAGTTCCAGAAAAACCCGCAGGTCCAGGTAGAGGCATTTGGGGCTTCGGGCAAAACAGGGGCCTGGCTCATGAGGATAGTTCTCCTCTGAAACATATTGCACCGAACGGTAAACAGAGGGAATCCTATAGGGAATCCTACGAAATACTCCTCTATGCAGACCTCTATATATTTGAAGGGTGCCTCGGGTGCTTATATGGCAGAGAAACAAGACAAGTGGAACACCTAGCTCATCCTGGCTTGTGTGTTTTACCTCTTCCTGTCGTCCTTGGGAGATCTCAAGGTTTCAAAAGCAGACAACCCTCAATCACCTGCAAACTCAAAAGCCCTGAAGCCCTACAACTCCAAGCCCAGGAAATCCTTAGCGCATAGATACCTGGCTTCCCCAATACCTAACGGAGGCGAAATAGACTGCCTTGGATGTGTAAAAAATTGTGACTTGGAGCCCTAACGTAGAAGCAACCCCAAGAAGCAGCACGGCGGACCGGATTGAGCATCTGCGGATCGAAATCGTAGCGCAGCTCGTACCTAGCATCTCGGGGCGCCGAAGAGATTTAAGGAGTCTCAGGGCACGAAACCCCGAACCCCCAAAAACCCTAAACACTAAATCCGTAACCCCTAAACCCCTAAACCCCAGAGTTAGTAGTTTCAGTTGACATGTCGTGCAAACACAGCCACGCTTCGAGTTGCCACTGGCAGGATTCAGCATGAAGAAGCCTTAACCCTAAACTCCAAGGGCTGCAGCTGCAAAGGCTCCGTACACCCTAGGCCGTAGACCCTATGCCCTAAGCCTCTGTCTCTGAACACCCTCGGTGCTCTGCTCTCCAACTCCGGTTCTCCGAATACCAAAAACCGAAAAAATGGAGGAGTCTGGGTGGAGAGATGCAAGGCAAGGGGGGACGGCTAAGTCATACTGAGATTGCCAACCACCCCCCGCCTCCCCCAGCGCCAGTAAGTAGGTCTAAGGTTCGGAGGTTTAGAGTTCGGCATTCGGTTTGAGAGCATTCGGCTGAACCCACAAAGAAGCCCTAGACCCTAAAGCTTCTAGGTTCGGCAGCCTAGGTTAGCCCTCTATCCAAGCATCCCAACATCAGAGCTGGCAGCGGTGCCTGAAGACGATGCTGCCATGGTTCTCCGCCTTGTCCTCCATGGTTTGCAGATTGGGAATGAGGGTTATAAGTTCTGCGGCTAAAGCTGTAAACTCTGTGTCCAAGGCTTGGGGTGGAGGGTTTGGCATCTAGCCCAAGTCAAGAGAAAAAGCACTGAAGGCTCTGTTGCATCTGCTTCAAAGCAAAGCAAGTCAAGAGTCAAGGGCTTGAGCCTACTCTTCTTGAATCAACCCATAGACTGCCCTTGTAGAACCCTTGTAAAACCTCGTATCGCTCCCTAAACTAGCCACCCTAGGGAATAGTTTGGCGTTGGCTTTCCTGGGGCCTGGGCTGGTTCGTTGCCTGCTTGTGCCTCTCAAGGCCAGCTTTGCTAAGACAAACCCTCACACTCTGCTGGCTCTTTGCCTTGGCGGACTGGGTTTTTCGGATTTATGGTTGAATGATTCGGAGTTTGGGCCTTGGGGTGTCGGATTTTGGGCCCTGAACCCTCAAAACAACCCAAAGGATAGGACCCTCGGCCCTGAACTGTCACAGGTCATGATCTTGCACCCATCGCTGGGTTCAGGGAACTGGTTTTGGATTGAGGTGCCTACAGTCAGTCTAGGTTTGCGGATTTACTCTAAGAAATTGCAAGCCGGACACCCTGAGACCCTGAAGCCAAAACCTTGAACAGACCCCCAACGGGGTGTTGCCGGAGAATGAGAGGTTAGGGATTGAACGCTGCACACATCAGGCTCGAAGGTTTATGATTCGCGTATCGGGAAAGCTTGGAGCTTCATGGCTTTCGGGTTTTACGGTTTAGGGTGCTCAGGTGTGGGATATGATGTCTTTGGTTGGGTGTGAGGGTCTAGGGCTTTGAGGTTTAACCCCGAAGCCCTGAAACCCTGACCCCCTGTTTCGAAGCCTAGCCCGAAACCAAGGGTCCTCCACCTCCAAGATGAAAGTTGTCTTTGTCCTCTCCTGCTTCGGAACTTCCGGTTTGGGAGCTTCGAGGTTGAAGTTTCTGGCCTCGAGTTGTCGCGTTAGGATCTGTAAATTCAAGGGTGTAGTGTGTAGGGTTTAAGCCTAAGCTGTGTAGGGTTAGGGGGTTTAGGGTGCTTCGGCATCAGAAACGCATCTATACCTGCATGGCTGTGCAGCTGGAGGCAACAACGGACGGACCTCCCTTCCTCCTGGACCCGACGGCGCGACTCCAAACCCCAAAAACTCCAAGGGCAGTCCGCGAATCCCATCTAATGCAAAAACCCAATTCTCTGGCTGAGTTCTTACAGACTCGGAAGCTGGGATTTTGGGCGTCACAGGCGTTGCAGTCAAGAGCGTGCGGCTTCGGAGCGGGTGCGTCATCAGAGGTAAGGACTGGAGATATGAGATAACAGCACTAAGACTCAGGGTTGGGCATCGTGTCACTTCATAATTTATTTCACATCATATCGTGTCATGTCACGCAGTATCCTTCATTTCGCTCCTTTTACTCAGACATTTCCTTTCGTTGCCCTTCCTTTCCTTTGCCTTGCCTTCCCATTCCTTGCCTTGCTTTTCTTTTCCACGCAGTCAGTTAACCGGTCAGTCACTCAATCACTCAGTCACCCCGCGGCCCAGCCACCCAGTCAGTGAGTTAGAGACAGTGAGTCAGTGAGCCACTGATTTGGGCACTGAGGCAACCAGTCAGCTACTCATTCGTTCATTGTTATTTACTTTTAGAATCAAGGGTTTGTGCATGTGTGTATTCATTTTGACACGCAGCCAATATCCCTGGAGACCAAGGTATGAAACTTCCAAATTATGATTATTTACAGCAGGCGTCCCAACCTCAAAAACTGAATCCAAAATCTTAAACTCCCGAAAAAACCCTCAGAGAGACCTGAGTAACCCTTCAACGATCCCATCACCATCTTTGGCCTTGCAAGAAGGCGCTTGAGGCTCGCCGGGCTTGTCTGGGTAGCACTTCACCTAGAAAGGCTTAGAACTTGGGGTGGGTGGCGGATTTGCGGCTTGGGGCTTGGGTTCAGGGTACAGTGCTTCATGGGTTTCGGGTTTCGGAAGCTTGCGGTATAGGGCTTAGAGATTTAGAACTTGGGATGTAGAGCTTCTGGCTCAAGACTTTTACGGTTTCCGGCTTCGGGTTTGGCAAGGGCTTGAACTCTTAAGCGGCAGCTTCTTCCATAAGCCACCTCGAACAAGCAGCCTTTGAAAAGGCCTTTACCAACGAAGAGACGAAAAGAAGTTCAGGGAGATCCGAGTTTGAAGGAAGGAGAGTTCTAGGGTCTAGGGCTTAGGGTTTAGGGCATTATCAAGCTTCGAGAGATTGAGCAATAGACACAGCTCCTCTACATGTTTTGCAGATCGCGCAGTAAGCGCAAAAAGGTTGACGCACGAAAAAGGACTCCACCCCGCACCCCAAACCGAGCCCTGAATTCTAAAGCTCCTAAGCTCCAGAATCCGAGTACCCGAAATGGGGCCAATGCCTCTCGACCTAAGGCCTCGTTCAGGGCTTAGGTCTGAAGGTCTAGGGTTGGGGTTTAGGGGTGTCGGGTTCAGGATTGAAGGTCTCGGCTTTTCGGATGTTGGGGGTCTTAGGGATCAAGGGATCAGGACTTAGGGGTTTAGGGTTCTTGGGTCAGCGCTGAAGGTCTGAGAATCGGGGCTTTAGGGCCGCTGGCTTAGGGCTTAGAGCGCCGCACCTCTTCCGTGGAATTCGAGAAAGGCCCAATGCCAGCCTGGTCTGTGACTCATCGTTTTCCAGATGTCGAAAGCGGGTGTAGGGCTTTGGGCTGTCGGTTTTGGATGTTGCTTTAGGGTTCCGGATTCGGGTTTGGGATTGTGTGCTTAAGCGCGTACAAAACCCCTCTTGGGCTCAGTGCTTAGGGTTGAGGGGCCCTGTCTTCAGGGCTGCGAGTTCTCTGTCCAGGACACCCCAGGCAGAAGGCCCCTGAATAAATTGATTCACGCCCGAAACCCTAAACCCGAAACGCAAATCATCCACATCGAGCTCTGAAACCCTTCAGGGTCTGGGGTTTTGGGTGGAAGATTTGGGCGGTTTGGGTGTAGAGTTTAGGCCTGAGGTTTGGGTCGAGGTTGAGGATTAAAGCTTTGGCGTTTGGAGGGCCAGGCTTTCTGAATTCTAGGACTGTCAAGGCCTTACAGGGCTCTGGAACGTGGCTGTGGTTGTAGTACCATCGCCACGGTTGGTTGGTCAGGTGGAGGGGTTCAAATCTTGTTGCAATTCAGAAGGCCTAAGAGCTGAACACTGAACCCTAAGGCCTTCAGGATACCCTAAACCCCGAGCCCTTCAATCCTAAACCTATAACATAAGTAAATAGAATACACTTCTACTACAATGTAATACAATATGAGACAACAGACTGCAACAGACTACAACACTACGTAACAGAATATCATAACATATAGCGTTATGTGAGATTACAATCAGCCGTACTATACTATGTTATACTATGCTATAATATACTTTAGTATACTTGAGCATACGTTACTCTAGTCTGCTATACTGTACTTTAGCTTACTGTGCTGCATAAAACTATACTATACGGTATTATGTTATAGTGAAAATATAGTTTAGTATAGTATACTATACTACACTATACTATACTGCACTATGATTAAGTTCAAGTATACTTGGCTACATGATTTTAAACTGTAGGATATGATGCTGTCTATTCTGTTCCAGTACGTTCTGGCGTATACTTCTATGTTATATTGTATTCGGTGATGTGACACTATATTGAATGATTATACTGGGTATAGTGTAGTATAGTATAGTATAAAATGTTACAAGTATAGTATGTGTCTGTATACGTGTGTATATGTATAAGCATATGCAGATACATATACATGTATAAATAAACAAATAAGTAAATAAATAAATAAGTGTGTATATATATAAATGTGTGTGTATATATGTGTGTGTATAGTATATGTGTATGAGTATATATATATATACACTTAATGTATATATATATATATACATATATATATATACATACATACATATAAACATATAAACTAGTTTTCCTATTTCCTTTTCTATTCAAACAGATCGAACATGATGTAATGTCACAGCATATAATATAATGCAAAATACAGAAAATAGACAAGCCACAAAGTCTTAAAGCTCCTGAAACTGCCTCTGCCCTGTCGCCGACACCACGAAACCTTTTCAATCATCCTACAGTTCTTGTCATTTGTATCCCCATAATGACCTGCAACACTGCATGGACCCTGTCGAAACGTAGCCAGACTCACATCCGAGGCAGATCGAATGGCTTGGTAGCCCTAGTTTTGAACATTGAGCTGCAGATTGCAGGCATTGCCCCGGAGCAAGCTTTGACCTCCACTCGAATCACAACATGGTCTGGGCATATTCTTTGGGATCAGCACTCCGGCTTCGTCACAGAGGCACCTGCTCGAGAAAGGAGAAGACGACAGCTGATGCCAGAGCCCGGGCTCGTGTGCCGCGCATCAAGCTGCTGGTTCTTCAACAGTTACTAAGCGTAAACTCTAAGCCCTAAACCTCTTTCAACAACTTTTAACCATAAATCCTAAACGCAAAAATCCTTCGGTTAAGGGTTTAGGGTTAAAGGTTTGAGATTTTTGAACTTTCGGGTGTGGGGTTCCATTGCTGGCTTCAGCCCTGCAGGCTTCGGCGAAAAGCCCACTGCTCTATACCAGATCACAGTTTATCATGTTAACGTATTTCGTTGTGCCATGTTTCTACTGTAAACTCGAATATGACATCCTTGAGTTTAATTGGCTGTAGCTGCATATATGATCTAGTATGTGATAATGTATGCTAGTATTGTGTCACACTGCCTTATCTTGTTTTGAATGTACTTAGCCATGCTAAAACCTATAGTAATATCGGACTCTAAACCCTCAAGCAGGACTTTGGATTTTGCTGAATATGAAACCACATGCACCCAAGCACGGGATGCTGGTCCTTCACCGACTAGGATAAAGAGGTCTGAAAACTGTTGGAAATAGTACCCCGAAATGGTTCATATATAGCCTTACCACAAAATGCCTAGGCATAGCACAGAATGCCTCCAAACCGTAGTCTAAACTATGAGGTCCCCAAAGTATACCATATCCTGCCGTGAATGCAGGAAGACAAACGCCTGTGAGCTGACAAGATGCCCCAACCTCTCTACCGACGCACACACAGACACACACCTGTGTAAATCGAAAACCTAGCCCGAAACCCTGGCTCAATCCTGAACACCTGGACCCAGACTAAACTATGGCACCTGGACCCTACACCCATAAAACCCGTAAGGCCGGAAATCCAAAGGGTTTCATCTGAGTTGCCTCCGTAACGGCGGCAACCTGAAAGAAGAGCCGCAAGCCTTGCCAGCTTCACAGAAATCTGTATTGCGAGATTTAGAAACTATGGGTTTCAGGATAAGGGGCTTATGAGCATTCAGGGATTTGGAAGTTCGGGGTTCAAGATTTCGGGTTCGTCGGCGAGTTTAGCCCTCAGAGGTTCTCAGGATTCGGTGATCTGATTGGGGTTTGCGTTTTCAGGGTTTCGGCACCACAAACCGTTGACGCACATCCCTCATGCTTTCTGAGTCCCGTCGTATAAAACAGGTTGGCTTCTCGAGTATGGTAGGGTTGCATAAACACGTGTTGGGCTAGCTCGGAACCTTTTTATACGACAACAATAAGACTGCTATTGAATCATGCGTTGCGCAAATGTGGCAAAATATCTTTGTACACACATGCACACGCATCTCGCTGATAAAAAGACCATCTGAATGCCCTGCAGACGACAAGTCCCCAGATCCGAAGCTGCTGCAGGTTTTGGAGACCACGTCACCCCAGCATTCCTGAGCCCTCAACACCATCAAAACCCTACACCCTAAACCCTCAACCCTAAACCCTAAACCCTAAAACCCGTGGTTGGGTTTGACATCGGCCTCTCAGACTTCCAAGTGCACCCCATGTGCAGCTCAAGTGCCAGCAGTCACCGGCCTCTGGCCTCATGAATCCTTGGGTTGAGGGTTTAGGGTTTAGGGTTTAGGGTTTAGGGTTTAGGCTCCAAACGCTCCCGGAACACCGTCAGCTTCCTAAGCAACCCAAGACGAGCCTGGAGGAATCCCGGGCACTGTGCAGCTTACAGATGTGCCGATGTCCATCATCTCAGGCTCCATGGGCACCTGTCCGCACCATGTTGCTGGTGTGTGCTAGTTGTGCGTACTCGCAGTAGCTTCATGCCCAACACAGCAGCACTACTCCTGATATTAGCAGTTACCGCTATCATCACCGCAACCACTCAGCACATTCACCTTGCGCAATATATGTCATGGTGTCCTCACCACCACCACAACCACCAGCATCAGCAGCAGCAGCAGCAGCAGCAGCAGTGACATCGCCATCAGCATCCAGTGCAGCATACACATCAGTGTCACCCTCTTCGTCATCATCAGAACAGGCCATCGTCATCATCAGCATCACCAGCATCGTCAGCAGCAGCATTGTAGCAGCACAAGAAACTCGCGTCCACACCACCCTCGTCATCATTATCAATGTCATCAGGCAGCATCGGCATCATATCCATCATCACGATCGCTATTGTCATCAGCATCTTCTCCATTGGCAGCAGCATCATCGGCATCAGCAGCACCACCTCCATCTTCAGCACTCTCATCGCTCTCAGCATCCCAGGGATTTAGCTTTCATCGATACTACTCGGCTTCCTCATCCTCAATTTACCACAACTCATAGGCAAAAGTATCATCACCACCATCATCATTATCTTATCAGCCATGGTATTCGTCGTCGTCATCCGCGACGTCAGCATCAGCATCATCATCGTACTCGCAAGCACCATCACCTTCCCCATGGCACAACAACATCACCACAACGGCCGCCGTCGCCGCCGCCCCCACCACCACCACCACCAACAAAAAACAACGGCAACAGAAGCAACCACAACCACAACCACAACAACAAGAACAACAACAACCACAACCACAACCACAACCACAATCACAACCACGACGACGACGACCAGAAAAGTAAGAAGGACAGCATCACTGCCAACAAGACGAAGAAGAATAAAGCATATTGCGTCTGTGCAAATTCATGTGTATGTATATATATATATATTATTTATAGCACCATCACCAACATCAAAAGCAACTGCTATGCTCGACACTGGCCAGCAAACTGCATATGCCGGCCTCATAGCGCCCAAGCTCTTCCGGAAGAAGGTAGTCCTGCGACGAACGATTTCAAACTCTCCAGCTCTGCCTGCGACTGCTTTAAGCCTCGCTGTTGTAGCACAAATCCAGGGCAGGATCTAGAACCCTCACAGATGCAGTTAAAGAGAAAATGCTTCATTCCATGAACTGGCAGGAATGACAGCGATAGCGACTAACAACACAGACCATCGAAACCCTAGACCCGAAAACCCCAATACCCAGCCCTCCTCGCCCTTCTCCAACCATCGCACCATGAAGTTTTGGATGGGCAGCCGATGGGTGTCCTGCTTTACAGTGAGTATATATAGGGCTCCTCAAGAAGATTGGCGAATGTACAAACCTGGATTTCTACTATGGAGATACTCTACCGGTTAGGAAAGCCTGCGTCAATTTGGGGCTTTTTTGGCTTGTGGTCTGGGGCATACAGGCGCCACACACAGCCGGTGGGCGTCCTGATGTGTGAGTTTATAACTTCCAGGGTTAGTGGCTCAGAACAGTTCACACATTTGATTAGATTTAGGTACACAAATCCTAAATTGAGTCTTAAGGCTTGCAGGGTCGAGGGTTTAAGATGCACCCTGTTGGAGGCATACAGCGTCCGGATCAGGCTCGTGTTACACAGTAATACTACGAAGAAATGGCATGGACTGCAGTCGACGAAGGCCATCACATCTTGAAGAGTACATTGAACATCTGTGAAGACGGTTGAAGCGCCCCACTGTACGATCTGCAGCCAAGACAAAGACGATTAGAGTCCAACGGAGGGCATCTCCGCTTGGATGAAGTGCACAGCTACATTTCTTGGATTTGGCACTCTGTCAAGAAGTCTAATGGGAAGCCTATTACATTACAATCCTTTATGTAGTGTATTCTGACTGACATTCTTTCTGCATGCTATGACGTAGATGGATACTATGTTTGTAAGTGTTTAAGCTGTTGTGGATGTTAACCTTATGGTGTCTCTGCCATGGTACTGTATTGGGAAAGCTTCATGTTATCAAAACGATTGGGGGTGTCTGTGTACTGTGTACAACAAGCGTTGGTAACAGCATCTGACATCTTGACCGAAAGCCTAAACCCCAAAAAAGAATTTCCAAGCACTGGCCACATCATGTAGATAAAGCTCTACCAGTCTCTACCATGAGACTCTTCAAGACTTTATAAGCAGGCCTGTGAGGTCGTCATCGTCATATGCGAGGCCGCCGTAAAGATAACGACATGCTGATTCACCAGTATCACGTATCACACCAAGTCCGAAACCTTTCGAGCCCTTGAGCCATTGCCTCGAACTTACATCCCGATTCCCACACCCGTCAACCCGCATCCGGTAACAATCAGGACAATAGCAGCGCATTTGGGACGACTTGTGTTGCCTACACCCGACCCTCAACAGTACACTGAGCTCGTGATATACTGCCGGAAGCATGTCCGAACATGGCCAGAACACACTTCAGCACAACGAAGTCTCGTGAATACCAACAGCTGCCCCGCGGCGACAGCGTCTGGTACCATGCCAGCTGCTGCTGATGCCGCTGCGGTTGCCGCTGCTGCTGCCGCTGCTGCTTCTGCTCCTCCCTATTCCTACTGTTGCTGAAGCTAGTGCTACTGCTACAGCTACTGCTACTTGCTGCTACGGCTACGGCCACGGCCCGGCCACAGCTATGGCTGCGGCTACTGCCACTGCTACTGCTACTAAAGCTACGACTGCTACTACTGCTACGACGACCACCACCACTACTTTTGCTACTTCTACTACGACGACAGCGACGACAACGACGATTGCTACTACTAAGAATAGCAATGAGAATAACAATGATAAGAACAATCATCAGATCTCTATTGCCATCACCAGCAGCACTGACTAGAAAACAACCCGCTATAGCATTGCCAATCTCATTCGAAGGAACCGACGCAAACCCTGACGGCTCTCCGGCGTCTGGAAGCTGAGGCCAACCTCCGAGGTTCGAATGGTGCCAAAATCTTTTCTTGGAGGAGCAGGGCGGAAACGGTCGGGTTAAGGTTTGAGATTTCAAACTCTGGGACAGTAGGGCTGTATTCATGCTGATTGAAGGTCTAGCGATACCAGGTCAGGACTTCAGCTGTCGAGGGTACCTGTAGACAAAGAATGCGTCAAGGGCCCGCAAGCCAAAACTCCGAAACCCTAAAACCGCAAATTCTGATCTCGATGTAAGCAGTGTGCAGTCCTGTACTCCTCTTCAGCTGTGGGTCTATCTTTGATGTGGTCTGCCCTTGCAGCTTTGCTCCTGGATTCTGGCTGTAATGCCGCAAAGCGGACACGGACGATACTCCTGGCCCGTTGTAGGCATTAGGGCGGGGGGTGTTTAGCTTCCAACTGCAGACCGTCACCGCATGAACATAGACCAAACGAAACTTTGGTGCTGCTGCCGAGCCTGTCGCAGCTGATTTGCAGTGACTTGCAGTTCCTGCGATGCTGATGGTGTTTGGGCTTAAGGGTTATACCAGAATCTCACACTTGCTAGACGTACCTCATGCGAACACGGAACTTGCAACGGAGTCTATCATAACTACTGTTCGTTCGACATTAGGCTGCTGGGGTTCACATGTTGGTTTACGAGGAGGCGGAACACTAAAAGACATTGACTCCGATGTCCAACGCCCAAACAACCCGACAAGCGAAGAAATCTTCACGTCCCTTTACTATACCAGGAACCCGAAACCCCTCAAGCCGAAATCCTCCAAGCCCCTACACCAGGACTCGAAGCCTTGAACCCTAGAAGCCTGCACCAAAACCTCCAAATTCCTTACATCCGAATCGCCCACATTTTCACCAACCCAGACCGCTAAATCCGAACGGTTTAGGGCCTAGGTCATCTACAAGGTTTCTGGGCACCAAATGTCCATTCCTCTTGCTCAAGTCGGAGTGCAACCATTCTAGGTTAGTGCATTCGGGAATTGAGCTTTGAAGGTCTAGGTTAGGGTTCGGGGCTTAGGCTTCTAGGAAGCATGTGTATAGGGTCTAGGGTTTTGGCTTGTGGAGACTGGGTTCAAGTCAAGGCTCAACGACTTTAACGCTTCGAGTTCCAGCCCGGTCCGTGCAGGGCTCCGGCGCCGACATGCAGGTCTTGAAAGGCCCAGACACCTCCACAAAGTGCCCCGTTTTCAAATTAGGGGTACCTCATTGAGGGCTTCATAAAGTTCTGGCTCTTGTCTGAAAAGTTTGCGCCATGGGGGACTAACAGCCTAAAGGGCTTAAAGATTCTCTGGGCTGCCAGGGCAACATCTCGCACATGCAGGTAGACAGGTGGTGGCTTGACAGGTTGGTTGGTTGGGGAGGGAGCGGGAGGGATGGGCAGAGTATCCCCAAGATAATGCTATGCGTTTCAGCGCGGGAGCAGATGTTCTGCTCCTGACAAGAGAAGCAAAACAAAGAAAACAGAAACAACTGCAGTAATGGCAGCGATAGCGATAGAGAGGATCGTGCTCGCAGTGGCAATAACCATGCTTCCTCGTCATGGTATCTAGCAGTATCGGGAATTATGATGAGTGCAGGTCTCATCCTGTCAACATTGGTAGACGCCGACACAGTGACCCCAAACCCAAACCGTTGTCCCTTAACCTCTAAATCCCCATAAGTACCCTAAACCCTGCACAATCTAAACCCTGCACAATAAACGTTGTGGCAGCAGTGGCAAGAAGTGGCCTCACTCCAGCCGGAAGTTCCGGTGTTGGCAACGGCCCGGACCTCCCACAAGTGCACATGCTGCGAGCTGCGGCCTGTACCCCACAGCTTTCCGGCTAAACCCTAATCCTAGACCCTTTCTAGCAGGCCCCACCTGGAAGTAGTAGTCGTGCAAAGGCTCCAAGTCGCTCAACTGGAGCTGGTGCCTCAAGGCATGTGGGTCTGTCCCTCTTACAGGGCAAACCCCAACCCTGATTGGGGGGTCCTGAACCCTCAATCCTAAAAGGGGCATGCCCAAGATCGGGGATGCTGATCAAACTGAACAAGAGTAGATGGAATTTACTTGCAACGGACCGAACTCGAAGCCCCGACACTTAAGATCCTGAAACCCCGAAGCCACAAGACACGCTGAACCTGCGGCCCCAGCCCTACATCCTGGCACCCGACCCGAAGCCAAAAAAACCCGAAACTCTGAACCCTGATCCCCAAACCAGGATCCTCCCTACCCCCTGCACGCAACCCCGAAACCCCCACAACTTACAATCCCCACCCCTGCATCCGTAAACCCGAAGCCGTTCTAGAGAGCCCTAAGCTCTTTACTGGGAGACGAACGTGCGCACCACGAGCTCGTCTCCGGGCAAGATCAGGGCCTCCTTCATCGATGGATCCTCCAGAAGCTTTAGAGCTTTAGGGTTTCGGAACGAGAAGCTATAGGGTCGAAGAGTGTTAGAGGCAGTTTTGGGTGGTTTGCACTCTCCGGGGCTCAGGGTCTGATTCTGGAGTATGGAAGGTTGGGAACATGGCAGAATAGAGCGTGTAAGCTTGAGGAAAGAGGGAACTCTTGCCCAGGGCTACACAGGGCCGGGGTCAGGGAGGCAGGGCACAGGACGTAGAGCGAGAGCAGGCAACAGGGCAGAGTGTAGCCAGGTCGTGTTTCTACGTCATGCACCTGGCATGCGCAATCCATCAGTATGAGCGCACTAGACCGCAAGGGGATTATAATCCTTAAAGCCGAAAAGCCTCCCCTAGATCCCGAACCCTAGCATGCCCAAACCCTGAACTGGGTTGTGTTCCGAAGTCTGGTTGAAGTCCCGGTCCTCGCGGGAGACCTTGACGTCGTAGCCGATCAGCCTGAGAAGGCGGGTGTGTCAGAGTTCAGTTTAGGGCCTACTCAGTGAGGGTCCTTCGGAAAAATCTTGCATCAGGGATCTATGAGGGTTCTTGGGTACAGTAAAGCTGTAGAGTGACTGTGAAAAGTATTACAAGGTTTCTTGACGGCTTCAAGCTTACATAGATCCAAAGATACGCACATAAACAGGCCAGTTCAGCAAGGATTGGCAAGGATGGCTAGGCACCGAAGGCTGTCTAGGACTCCATAGGATCCCTTCAAGCCTACCCTTCATGGGTACTCCTCTGCAGCTTCGGGTTTTGCCTTCAGGGTGCCGGGCTTAAGGGTTTCACGTATTCAGAAGCTTCTAACCCTCAGCCACGCCCGGATCGAACTCTTGAAGTCGCACACTGCCCGAAGCCACTCGCTAAATCCCCAACACTCAAACAGCCAGAGCGCACTACAACAGAAGATGTCTGGTTTATCAGGATAAATTATGTCTATCGTTTATACATCTGTTCAGAACTTTCTTCTTAAGTTAAGCTTATCTATCATCATGATTTTGGAGCAAGACCCACGAGCCGCCTGAAACCGCAGGTGTGCGGCTCGGACCAGGTGATCGTCAAATCTCGTGGCTTCGCCTTTCGGCGACTCCCGCGGGATTTGGGGTTTTGAAGGGCTTTAAGGGGCTTTGAAGGGCGTTAAGGATTTCGAAAGCTTCAAGGGTCTCGGATTCAGGCCTTCATGCTTAGCTTGGAAAGCTAAGAATCATGTGGTGTCAGGGTTTAGATATTGAGGCCTTACGAATTTAGGAAATGGCTTTTCGTGCTTTACGGCTGGAGTGGCCCTGTGCTTTCGTCGCTTCGTATGTGAAGGCTTTGCAGCTTCGATGTTCAGTTCAAGGTCCGAAAATTTGGCACCCTGAATGCTTTTGGGGAGTATAGGGTACGGGTACGGGGATTGAGGCTCTCCGGACTCCGACTTCCAAGATTTGGTGATTTCGCTCCGGAGTTTGGGATTTGTGTGTTTCGGCTCTGCTATTGCTCTGCGCTCCTCCAACCCCAAATGCCAGACTGTACTGAAAGGCTTGCTTCGTTTCCCCAGGGTTGCGGGCAGGAAGTGGCAAACCCTGAACTCTCTACCCACAATATAGAGGCCTAAACACTTCGACTCTGGTTTCCGCTATACATAGATTCGGGACCGCTTCAGGTCAAGGCACCAATCTTCATCCTGAAAGCCCACACCTCAACTCCCCGGCGTCCGGAGCCAGGAGCCTCTACAAGGACCCTGAATGGGCATCCCTAGCTCTAAGAAGGCCCCTAAACCCTAAACCCTAAACCCTAACTATCTGGTTAGCTCTCTAAATCAAGGACCCGTTGGGGTGCCACACTATTTTGGGGACACAAACAGGGACCCTAATGTAGAGCGCTACCCATCTTACGAACCCGACAGACCCACGGCCTGAACCAGCGTGGGTGCGTCGGGAACTTCCGGACCCACCACCTGCGGATCTGGGGTTTGGACGGTTTCACCAAGGTCCTTTCTTCACTCTGAAGCGTACAGGGAGGGCTCAGAAAGTCTAACTAACTTCCTAAGTCTCCCCATCCTCAACGTCAGGTCTCGAGCCCTAAACCCTACACCCCTAACAAGATTCAGTCACCGGATTAGGTTTGCTGAATTTCGGGCACAGGACCTTGGTCGCGATTCCGTCGGACCAGGTTGTCCACTCTGAGCAACCAACCTGCCCACGACGCTTCATCATCGGTTCAGGGTTTAGTCTAGGGCTAAGGGGCTGCAACCAAGAGTAAGACAAGTTGCGATGAGCTGTCGTCATACTCTTCGTAGCCACAACAGGGGTACCGGCGGGTGTTGTTAGCGACAGCAGTAATCTCTACTACCTCACCGCCTCCTCTGCCCATAGCCTATAACTGATGCTTGCAGTCTGTCGACTAATCGAATAAGCCTTGAACCTCAAACCTAAACTCTAGAGTTGAGGCTAATCGTAGAACTGCAATCGGCTCTGAAGGATTGGTTCTTCAAGCTTTACAGGGTCTGGGAATCAGGGCTGAGGCTCTGAAAATCTGGAGTTGCGGCTGGCCCTCTGAAATCTTGCCCTTCAGGGCTTCGACCTTCAGAGCTCAAGGAATGCTGAGTCCTCGAGCCGCGGAGGTCTGTGAAACAACACACCCCACAAAATCCGGTACGCCAAACCCCAATCCCAGATCACTCCTGACACCTTGATACCTCCTAAACCCCCTTAGACCCCTCCAGCCTAGAGGCCGAGAAAACCCGGGATCATGCCTCATTGAGCGCTTGCACCCGGAAGAAGTACAGGTGGCTGGGTTTCCTGAAAACGGGCCGATTGCATGCGATGCTCTGGATCAGAACGCCGGATCCTCCACTCCTGCCCTAAACCCTACATCGCACCCCTGAGTCCTAAACCCTAAAAACCCAAAAATAACCCTGAAATACTTAAAACCCAAAGCCTTAGCAATCCTCAACTCTGCCGTTTCAACAGTCTAGTTTCTGGCTTTGGGGCTATCCCGGGTTCAGGTTCAGGGACTAGCGGTTTACGGATTTAGGGTTTGGGGGTTCAAAGGTTCAGGCTTTCGACGTTGCCCCTTGGATCCAAAAACAGAGTTGTTCTCATGAGCCTGTGGGATTATACTATAACCCTAGACCCTAAGCTGTGAATCTTAAACCCTCACATCTTATGGAAAACCCGGTTGACGGGCAGGATCTCAAAAATTTGGCTCAGGCTTCTAGGAATGACGATCTCATGGTCTACGAAACAGTGTCGGATATGAAGGCTCAGGCTTCCGGGGGGGTCTGGAGCGGTCGGCCTAGCTGAGCCAGTGTAGGGTTTCGCACCTTACGGCTTCAAGGTATAAGCTTAGGATTTAGGGCTTAGGGTTTAGGGCTTGTCTGGTGCGATGCTATGAAGTCGCCATGAACCTTCGTACAGGCTCCTACGCCTGGACCGGAGCTTCCCCCGCAGAGCCTGACACCCTTGGTTTGGGGTTTTGGGTTTAGGATGGAGGTTAAAGGGTTTCGGCCTGAGGCCTCATGTTTGGGATGTGAGGCATCTTTTAGCTGCAGTGCAGCATAAAGCCATGCGCTCAGTGGATAGGCACCAGACAGTTTCTCCCCATGCCCCTTACCGTGAAGCGTGGTGAATCCCAGCACTGCTCATCCTTAACCCGTGCGCCAACTTTTGTTTCCGCAAACCCTCATGAAGGCCCCGAACCTGAACTAGAATGGATTTGGCCCAGATTCAGGTCGGAGACGACCAGGTTCGTCCGCCTGCACAAGCACCACACGGAATTTTTCCCAAACAGGACTGGAACACCCGGCGATCCAATTTCCAGGGTTTGGGGATTAAGCTCCTAGGCAAGGACCATGTTACCAACAGAACCTGGGAACTCTCCTCAGGTCCGGGGTGCAGGGGAGATCCTACTCTGCTCCAGCCCGAAATTCGGAATGCGAAGCTTGCACACCTGTCAACCATGAGCGACCCTTCTGCCAGCCAGCCACCCATACAGAGACTATTCCTTGCAGCCCAAATTGAATATCCTTTAGTTAAGAGCGGAATCAAGGAAAAGATAAATAAGCAAAAAATACAACTGAAAGACTACCAACAAACAAAAAAACAAAAGAGGCGCCCGCTCCTGAGGCTGTTTTTTGGTTGTATTTTGTTTGTTTTATTTTTGTTGTATGTGTGGTTTATGTTTGTTTTAGTGTTGTTTTGTTTTTTCCCTGGAAAAAACAGAAACAACAAAAATAAAACAAATAGAAGACCACCAAAAGACGAGCCTCAGAGGCGGGCGCCTGTTTTGTTAGTTTGTGTTTCTTTTTGGTTTTCCCGTTGCTTTGGCTGCTGGCCTGATTTAGCTGTGTGTGTGTGTGTGCTTTTGTTTGTTGGTTGTGTTCTTTTTGTTTTTTTATCTTTTTTTCATACATCCCAGTAACTGAAGGATTCGTTCTCGCAATCGTTTGCCTGCAACCTGCGACCTGCAATCCAACATTAAAAGCAGCGCACCTTGCCAAAGAGCCTCATTTAAAGATGCCTAGCATCGCTTCAAGCCAAAAACCTGAAGCAACATGAGGCCCGGCCTACCCAACAAAGACCGAACCTCTCAACCATGCTAGCCCCCTCAGAAGCCTAGACCCTTCACCATAACGCAAAAAATCCAAACCGTAAACCCCGACATTTTGAAAACCCAGCAAAAAGAAGGGTTCAACCTACAGGCGCCTGTGCAGCGATGTGATGGTCTCCGACGCCCCTTCGTCTGAAGGATCCAGGCTGTACCTCGCAGACTTTCGGGGCTTCAAGGTTTTGGGGATTGGGGTCTATGTTGGAGTCTGGAGACTGAAGGATTCTGGGGCACTGGATTCTGTAGCCGATGATGGGCGCACCCTGGCTGCACGGCTCGTCCCATTCCTGCGGAGCGAACGAGCCCTTGACTTGAGTTCGTTCCGATCCCTACATACACCATTCACCCTGGAAACCATGTAAGTGTCCAAGCCCGGTGGTTTTGAATTCAGGGTCGATCATTCTGATGTAGGTTCTTATGTATGTGCTGAAGGGCTTAGGACTGCAGGGCTTGAGCTTTATGTGCTGTATTCCGGACCAGCGGAGAGTAAAGCACAGCAACACCCTGAGCCACAACATTAGGTTCGTTATTGGGACGTCTGGTTGTAGGATCCAGGTTGGGAATTGAGCGCCCATCGGACCGAAACCAGAGAAGTTCGTACTCCGATGATGTTCAAGGCCGCGAAGCCCACAGCCCGAGCCCAAAGCCGAAATCCTAAAACCCAAACCCGCCGCCTCGAACACGAATCTTCAGCCCCAAAGCTAAGCCCGAATTCTATACCGAGGACGAAAAAAACACCTAGACCATGACCTCTTAATCTTAAGCAAAATGCCCACGCGACCCGTAGCCTCAAACCTCTTAAGCCCAAATTCCATCCCAATTTCACATCCCAAAACCCTAAACCCCTAAACCCGAAACCCTAAGCTCAAACGCCAGGGTCTGTTCCACTCTGTCTTCTGCCTTTGTTGCTTTGGAGCTTTCGATGCCCCGCGGAACCGCAAAGTACTGAATGGGGGTTGAGCGCATTTTAGGGTTCAGGGGTTTGGGGTTTAGGGTTTGGGGTTTAGGGTCTAGATTTTAGGTTTTAGGGGTTTGGGGTGTAAGTTGGGTGTCGGGTTTGGGCTTAGCGGTCAATTTGAATGCGGTTTGACCGGTCCAGGTAGGACTCTGCCTAAGCCCGGGAACATAGCAGAACCCCACAACCGAGACCCCAAAATCAAAAACAAAACCCTAAACTGATGCCCACGAATCCACCGGAAAGTCCCTGGAACAGGGATCGGACAGAAGCCCCCAAAACATGAAACTGATGCCCCGACATCTCCAAAACCGCCGGGCGCCCGGGCCAGCTTGATCGAGTGTGGGCACTCCGATGAGGACAGAGGTTCTATGAGCTCCCCATAGTCGTTCCTGCGAATGGGTTCTACAAAAGCTCTATAAGGGATCTTTCAAGGCTTCGCTCACTCGGGCTCTACGAGGGCTCTACACCAGGTTCTATAAAGGTCCATTATTGTTGGGTGTCTTGTGGTGAGTGTTGTTTCAGGTGGGCAGGAGAAACCGTCGCTCTTACACACAACAGATGCTCGATGTGTTGAAGCGTCAGTCAAATATCTGCCAGACGAAGGCCAACAACAGCGACTGGTCCACATGCCAGTTTGGGTTTGTACACGGGATAGATGAGCCCATATGCTTGAGGGACGCCGGGTCCTGACTATCGACCTAAATGACCCTGAAACCTTGACCTACAGCCCGAACCCAAAACCCGAAACCCGCCCTGAACCGACAGGCGTTGGCCTTGGAACGATCTGGAGCGGATGCCTCAACTCGTAACAAAGGGGCTTCTAAACTACCTTCATGGTTCGAGAGTCGTCAGGATGTAGGGAATAGGGTGCTCGGCTTTTCGCGTGGGAGGCACGGGTAGGATGAAACCTAAGTCTTCGGAACTCTGAACCCTATAAACCCGAAACCAGATCCAGGAGCGTGAGACAATCCATCGGATTTTGGAAGACTAACATAGGGGCCTTCATTCTGTGCAGATGAGGTTTTATAGAGTCTTGTTTCGGTTTCATACGTTGTCCAGGCTGGTTAGACCAACGTTTGGAGGTACAAGATAATGACTTGATGATACACAGGCGCTACATGGAGACACTACTACCATACGCCAAGGCTTAAGGGGCTACTGGGTTTTTGTGTTGGGGCACAGGCAGGGTTCGGGGCTGAAGTGTGTTGCATAGAGCTTAAGCCCTAAGCCCCAAACGGAGGAGGGGGTGGGAATCCATGGCTTATCCGCTTTGGCTTCCACAGCATTCAACAATTGCAAGAAGAGAGTTTGGTGATGGATTATCGTCTAGTTCTGAGGGACTAACACTACTTATTTGAATCAATGGTGCTAGATGATATTTTACGTTCCTTTTGTCCTCAAGCCCTCACACCTCTCTGAAAGGGATCCGAACCCTCCGAACGTCCGAAAGCCTGAATGCAAACCAAAAACTCTCAGCCCGAAAGAGAACGTAACATGCCCAACCCAAGCCCCAACATCCCAAACGTTGAACCCTTCCCCTAGCATCTCCACAGAAAAAGGCAAACCCCGTCGTGGGTTTATGCCTTCATTGAGGATTCCCAATTAGGTTTTGGGGCCCCGGCGGCACGACATAGCCTGGCGACCGAGGCCCATGAATACCGAATGAAAGGCATGCGAAGCCTGAGGCCCCGAAGTCCTAAATCAACACATCTCTGATTTTGTGGCTTAGAAGGGTCATTCCGCACATAGATGTTCCAGAGGCCGGAATGGGTTACGAAGACTCCAGGACACTATTCAGCAGGTGTTCTAAATCAACCACATCAAGGTTTCCTTCAGAGTGGATACGTTCGTGCCTTGGCCTTTTGTAACGAGGATCCGACCAGGAAGGGCCAGACTCTGAAAAAAGTGCGAGTCCCACTACAAGCTCTCAATCAACAATGATAAGTAAAAGGGTGGCTTCGAGATCGGTGTTCAACAGGGCTCAGGGTGCAGGATTTGGGGTTGATGATTCAATACCCCCCAACCCTAAATCCCCTAAGCCGCAAACTGAAATCGCACAGCCCAAACCAAAGTAACAAACCCTGAAGCCTAATCACTGAACCCAGACCTCCAAAACCGTAGGCAGAAGACCTGAACCGACTATCTTGGGATAAATACTGGTAGTTGCAGTGTTTGGGGGTTTGTGGCTTCGAGTTCTTGAGGTTTAGGTAGGCATCAGACCTGCCTTGCCTAACACCTGTGGAGCAATAACACCGCGCCACAGAGACACGAAGGAACGAGGGTTTGGGCTTCTGGTTTAGGGTTCGGGGTTAAAGTTTTTCGGCTTAGGGTTGTTCACCCGCGTTCCCTCGAAATTCGGCGGTTGCGCTGTCAGACCAATGACTCCACTCGCCGGAACCCATTGCGTTGCAGGCGCGGACCTCGGGTTCAGGGTTTAGTTTTACACTCCACTCAAAGCTCTAAACCCCAAGCCTTGCACGCGGAGACGGGATATCTTGAAACCCCCAACCCTAAGCCTAGCTCAAAACTCCTCTATCCCCAAACCCCAAAGCCCGAGCTACAGACCCCGGAAAGGACCCCAAAACCCGAGCCCCTCTGAAGACCTAAACTCTATGCTAAGGGTTTCTGGTTTTAGGACGTTTGGGCTTCGGACTGTTGGTTGCAGGGCTGAGGACCTTAGGGTTCAGGGTTCAGTTTCGAAAGCTTGGCTGTTGAGTCCAATCCAGTCCATTCTAGGGCGCGTACTTGTGCTTTGTTTTAGGATGTTCTTCTGGCTTTCGGCTTCAGAGCTCAGAAATGTATACCCCAAGCCTACAACCCTACACCTCTCCAACCCTAAACCCTAAACCCTAAAACCCAAAACCCCAAACCCTAAACCCTCCCCTCTAAACCCTAAGCCCTAAACGCCCTAAACCCGAAGCCCCCGGCAGACCTGGAACTCGTAGGTCTTCCCCGACTCGAGGCCATTCAGCTGCACCTGTGGCTCCTGGAGATTCAGAGGCTCACCTCTTTAGCAGGGTTTAGGGTTTAGGGTTTGGGAGTTTAGGATGGTGTACGACTTGAGTTTGGGGCTTGAGGTTAAGAACGTGTCTGCATCATGCCATCCTATGCCTCAAAAAACCCTGCACCTTGCAAGCCTAAGCTGTCAAACCCTAAAAAAAAGAGCCGCAACCTCCTGCAATCCTAAAGCCGAAAGAACCAAAAGCCCTCTCCCCTACGCCCGAAACCTTTGGGAACGCTCCTGACCGATGCCGGTCACCAGCAGAGAGTTCTCCTCACCGACGATCCTGCAACCCACAGCTCGTGGAATTCAGCATCGGCTTTGGGGCTTTGGGGCTTTGGGACTTCGGACTTAGGATCCTTCCGCTTAGAAGGTTTAGGGTGGTGGTTTAGCACCTTGAGCCTTAAACCAGCCCCGAACCCTAAACATCCCAAAACAAAAAACCTAAAACCCTTAGACACTCACTTGCCTCCACACCACCCCGGTCCACCGCCAAGCCCGACCGAAGGCTAAGAGCGAAGGCAGGCTCCCTCCACTTTGCGCCCGCCTGAGATTCAGCTCGTACGTAAACTCGTCGTGGTCGGACCCATCCGCCGGCGGGACCCAGGTGACGAATGTACACCAGGCGTTGTGAGGCTTTATCGCCTGGGCTTGAGGGTTTTGGGTGGGTGGGTGGGTGGGTGG